CGCATTTTGCGGTTTACCGCAATGCGGTAAACCGCAAAACGCGGTCGGTTTGCGGTTTCAAAAATCACCAAACCGCAAATAGTCGGTTGGTTTGCTGTTTGAGTAAAAATTCGCGGTTACCGAACCGCAACCACCCCTAGTCTTTACAGTCCTTCTCACTTGGGCTTGGTGTTGAGGCCTCAGAGTCGTCACGTCCGGGATTACCTAATATAATTTCATTTTTATGGGCTAGCATGGGCTATATTGAACATAAATTTTAAACATGAAACCCAAAACTCCAAAACAGTATTTAAAATATATATATATATTATATATATATACCATCACCTAATTATTAATTTAAGGTTTTAATCACACATTTTTAAAAACAAATGCCACAACTTCTAATTATCACGGGGATGAGGATTTCTCACATACACATAACTATGATGTCGTAGGAATTCAAACATAAAATTTCTGGTCTGCAAGTTAAGGCCGTTTTCCACTAAACTAGACCTCATTGACTCTCAATATAGTTATAGTTGTATTCATATTGTAATTATGCAAAAATGTTTCTATTATAATTTTTTTTAATGTTTTTATTTATTTATAGGATTTTAAGTTATTTTTTATATAATCAGTTTATTGAAAGAATATGGAACTGGAGGATTGGCTCGTGATCCATTTATAAGACCTAACCATACATTTGTTGGTTGACAAGTCACCAAGTAGTGGTCACATCTGTCCTTTATCCTCCTCCTTTACAACGATTATAAGGTTTTGAGAGAGATTGACATGAAATATGAAGCAGCTATATACATGTTGTTTTCTTGCCACTATTTTACGTGGTTTAGAGTTTCATCTTTCTTCTCACCTTTCTAAGTGCTATTGCGTCATCTCATTCTCATTTGGGAGAAAAACTTGCTTATGTTAGTATGTCTTGCATTACCATGTGTTTCAATGTCCTCATATGATAGTATACGATTAATTTGTAATATTGTCATAGTAACATCCCCGTTACATGAAAGTTCTTTTTCTTTCCTTGCGTGATATGCTTCAAGACTTGTGACTTGTGACTAATTGGTGTGGTGTTCACTTTTGAAATGAGGTTTTCAATTTTAAGACATGGACACAAACTGTGGGTGGGCAACCACAGGATTCATTCTGTTCATTAAATTATTCACCGATTGTTTGAAAGTTTGGCACATTGATGATCCCACCACAGATGGGCAAGTGCTGCTACTAGATCTCTGATCTCAAATCATAAATCTCACCCCAACCCAAAAAGAAAGAAAAGAAAAGGAAAGGAAAAAAAGAAAGTGCTAGCTAGATCTCAATGAAATTTCAAAGCAAATATTCCCTGACAATAGTGTTCTTATTTCCTTCAACTTAATTTGTCGCTCTCATTCTTTTTTATTGTTCCACCAACAACAGGTTTGAAAACATTTTTTTTGCAAACTCAAAAGAAAGCCATTAGTTTACTGAAGCTCTCAGTTCATATAAGCAGACAGAGTTTGCATCAAAAGTGAAAGGTCTCATGTGGGCAGATGGGCTGCCAGTAGGAAGCGTCAGAGAAGTTGATAAGCCATATATATATAACAAAAAGAACGATCATACAGATTAAAAAAACCATGGTGCAAAAGAGAAAACTACTCAAAAATTGACCTCCAAAAATGAAAGCAACACACTTTGTGAAGTACATGCAGTACTGTATAAAAGTGACATGCTGAGTAAGAGTCTGATGTGTTTTTGTTCTTTTTTCAAAACTCAGAGAGATTTTAAAATGTAAATCCTGTGTCGGCAATGGGACGCATTACTTTACATTGCATATTTCTTACTATTTTGTCTCGGAATTTAACTAAAATCAGGTGCTGTCAATCGTTTTAAGTTGGATGCTCTAATTTTATGACAAATAACCGAAACTTTCGTGCCGTATGGGAGTAGGATTTGGTAATTATGCATCAATCAGACACTCTGTAACGAGTCTACATCGATCTCAAGACATCATGTAAAGTTGAGAGAGAGAAAAGAGATAAGTGACCAATTATGTTATGATTAAAGAGAAATTTGAAAGTTGATGCCTGCAATGATGCAGCTCCCCTGCCAACGGTCCTAGTAGATTCCCATATTAAACAAGAGCTATGTTGATACGTAATGAATAGCTTTCCATTAGGTTGATTTGCAACCAGCCAAATTGCTCACATGCTGTCACATCTTTTTTTTTTTTTTTTTTTTTTTTTTTTTTTTTTTTTCCTTGAATTAAAAAAAAACCAAGATATTTTCTTCCAATTTCAGATCCAGCAAGCTAACAAAGTTTGTTTTCTGTATCTTGCAGCTCAAACTTTCTCCAAGATTTCTTCTTTCCCCAGTTGGATTTATGCTCAGTAACTGGGGCCACTTGGTTTGATGTCAAACATCAAACTACTTGTTCTTCAAAAGCAGAACACTGTAACTCTCATAAGAAATTAATTAAGATCTACTAGTTCTGCTGCCTTCAATCAATTTAAGATAATCCCATTTTGGACAAGTAAATTAATTACATTATTGACTTATTAGTCATTTATTGAAATAAAATTTGAATAAAACAATTTAATTAATAGAATCAATCTAATGAATTAGAAAAGTTCATCCTATATCCGACCTAGCAATCCCCATACATGTCCACAATTCTAAGGGTACAAACCTTTGGTAAGCCTCCCCTTGACAGAGTAAGGAACAAAATATATAGCTTTTCCTTGCCTTGCCATACATGTATATATCACCACCATAACATAAAATAGTAGCATCATAAAACCCTTGCCTTGCCCATGTTGGGCAAAGGGGCTCATCTGTAGAAATTTTATTGCATTGTACACTTCATGATGAGGTTATAATCTCATCCATTTTTGGGTCTAAAAGCACAGTCAGAAGATACTTGGGAAACCATCCTTTTGTGATGATCAGCTTGTGATGATCTATGGGATTTTGTGTTGTATGACGCAAACCTTCCCTGCCTGTGCTTTCTTCTTGGCTGAGATGACTGGGGGATAAAAACCCCTGTTCCTTTGGTTTCTCTTCTGCGGGATTGTTCATACAGAAAAGTAGGTTGTGCAGGTGGATGATGGATTGCACAGGAGAAAGCCTGAAAATTGAAGCACAGTTAATTAATACATGTGATGTTGTTTCAAAACAAACCTACAAGAACCATATAAAAACTGAAACTCAAATATGATAAGTAAATGCATGAAGAAATGGAATAATGAAAATGATGTGTGTATGTATGTACCTGAAGAGAAACTGAAGGGCAAGTTGCAACAGGGTCCTCATCATCATCCATAATTAGCAGAGAGATTTGCCTAGTTAAGTCTGCAAAGAACAAGTCATCTTCAAGCTTTTCCATGGTTACTTCCAGATCTTCTTCTTAATCTAGATATTGGGTAGTGTTTGTTGTCTGTCTGTGTAAAGCAGACTAAGTGAGGAGGGGTTTGAAGTCTTCCAATCTAACTCTCTTCAAATCTATGGGAATCAGTCTGATTTTAAATAGGAGAAAGCAGGGGATGGGTTGGTTAAGTCCCACTACACATGGCTTGTGCAGCCATGTGGGAATGGTGGGGTCTGAATGGCAGTTGGCCTATCTGTTTTTAAGTCCCACTGGGCCCTACAAGAATCATGTAGTGTGTCATCATATTATCCAGTTGCCCCAAAGAGATGTGGAACAGCAGGCAACACAACCCACACTCAGATATCCCATCCAAGATAGACTCAAAATCTCTAGCAACTTACACACTTGGTTGTAAATGAGTTCTCTTCCTCTCATCCATATTTCCTAAAAAAGAACAAGTGTATGTTTCAAGATCCACAAATAGTCCATATGTAAACATGGTACATATTATAGTGTAGTTTTCTTTGAAGGATCTAGATGAAGTAGAGATTTTCAGTTAGGGGAGAAACTATTTTTCACTCTCAGATTCATACCTTGCATAAGCCAGAAATAGAAAATAAAAAAATCAATCAAAATAACAAAAGTGATGGGTACTTTTGAAAATGAAAGGAGCATGATGTCTGCCAAGGGTGCAAATAGCACCTCACCATTGTTGGAAAACATGTTGCTCAGACTCAACTTGCAAGACTGTAAATCTTTGTCAAACACAACAGTCATATCTAGAAAATATATAATTTGAAGGATGCCTTAATTCCAATCTCAGATGCATTCCTTGAATAAGACAGAAAAAGAAAAGGAAAAAACAAAAGTGATGGGTACAAAATGAAAGGAGAATTATGTGTATGCAGAAAATCAACCACCAAGGGTGCAAAGAGCACCCCTTGGTTCACCATGGTTAAGCAGCAACATGTTGGTCAGATTCATTATGCAGACTGTAAATCTTTGGCAAGCATCTGGTAGAGTGTGGGCCAGCAATCACAAGTAGAAAAATAGACTTGTTACCAGAT